AGACAAGGCAGACCCATGAAAGGCAAAAGACAATTCAATATGCACACACTAAGATCAAAAGGCATTCGGGTAGCTATCAAGAGTGACTGACTGTCCCCTACCTGAGAAGCTCTTTCTAAGATGTCATGAACGCCAACTATGAGAATAATTTCCTCCCTCAAGCAGACCGTAACCATGGAAAGATGTTGAAAGTCTAGTGCCACGGACATGAAGAGAATGGATAAAAGAATGTGGCTGCAGAAATCTGCAAAACTTCCTGGGGAAGGAGAAACCGAACAACGATGAGAGAAGGTCCAATGTTAAGAAAGTACAACAGCAGCCATTCCACAACGTGAGCTTTACATTTGCAAAGAGGAGACTTTTCTTCTCACCTCCAAATGGTAAAATCTCCTAGGAGACAAAGACTATAATTCAGTTTGTGAACATGAATGTTACAATGAAGTCTGTATTTTCTACCAGATGTGGTCACAAAAAATATTTATAATCACACCACTTTTCTTCTGAGGCAAAGTCAAAACATAGTGCCAAAGAAGAGTAAGGGAGACCATTTTTGCTTTGGTAAACTCTTAAGGACAGAGGGCTGTATTAGTTTTCCACTACTGCCAATTATCAAAACTTCGTGGTTTTCAACAACACACATTTATTATATAACAGTTCTGGAGGTCAGAAGTCTGATACAGGTCTCGGAGGGCTAAAATTAAGGTGTTGGTAGAGCTGTGTTCCTTCTGGAAGCTCTAGAGAAGAATCTATTTCCTTGCCCCGTCCAGTGTCTGGGCCATCTACACTCCTTGGCTCCTGACCCTTCCTCCACCTGCAAAGCCAGCAATGATACATTTCTCTGTGCCTTTCTTTCACAGTTATATTTCCCTGAATGCTCACCTTCTTCTCCCCCTCTTTTACTTTTTTTTTTTTTTTTTTGAGATGGAGTCTTGCTCTGTTGCCCAGGCTGGAGTGCAATGGCACAATCTTGGCTCATTGCAACGTCTGCCTCCCAGGTTCAAGTGATTCTCCTGCCTCAGCCTCCCATGTAGCTGGGATTACAGGCACCCACCACCACACCCGGCTAATTTTTGTTTTGTATTTTTAGTAGTGACGAGGTTTCACCATGTAGGCCAGGCTGGTCTCAAACTCCTGACCTCAGGTGATCTCCCCGCCTTGGCCTCCCAAAGTGCTGGGATTACAGGCGTGAGCCATCGCGCCCAGCCACCCACCTCTTTTACTTTTAAGGACCCCTGTTACTACACTAAGCCCATCGAAATAATCCAGGGTAATCTCTCCCCATCTTGAAGTCCTTCATTGAATCACATCTGCAAATTCTATTTTGCAATATAAGGTAAAATATTCCCAGGTGCCGGTGATATCTCTGGGGAGCCATTATTTTGCCTGCCACAAGGGCAGATATGGGCTGAAAAGAAGCTTCAAGTATCAGCAAGAAGGCTATGAAAGTTACTATATGAGGCACAAGCAGTTCCAAAGCACAGCTCCAATCAAACACTTAGCGTACAAGTTTCACAACTATTGACCCTTTTCAACTTAACTCCCACTACATTTGCCCCATATTCTCTAAGGATCACTTTAATGCCATCTTTGCTGTGAGGCCTTCCCACTGTCTCAGAGAGAATCAGTGGTTCTATCGTCAGTAAACACGAAGGACTCTGCCCATGCCCTGTTCTAGCACTTCAACACTGCCTTACAGTACCAAAATTTGTCTGTCTCCCTTATGAGATAGTGAACCACTTGAGAATTAGGACAATCTCATTCAAAATCCTGGGAAGAGGCTAGTAAAGTGCTTAGCACTTCACATTCATTCACTCTGACATCTGTCTATACTTAACCAGCACTCACAATGACAGGCACAACCTTGTCAGGCACAGCATTTCACTTGGGGACATAGAGTTCATTAATAAAGACAACAGAGTCTCTTCAAGTTCTGAAAAGATTTACCAGTATTTGCTTCAGCAAAGGGCAAGGTATGATCAGCAAAAAGGACCCAGCAGCCACAAAGTTAAAACTCAGTAGCCAATAGACATGCCAAAGATATATTTAAAGATACAAAAGGCAAAGACACTGCATCTGTCAAAACTCAGCAAATGTACACTTAAGATTTGCACTTTTCATGTTTTGTACATTTCACATCTAAAGAAAAACCTAAACAAATATAGAATTCTAGTTAATACACAGGCATTCTGAAATTTTTAGGGAATATGTACCCATGTCAATTTACTTTGAAAAAAATAAAAAAATACAATGAACTGATGGATAAAAATAGGGACAGACAGGTATTTGTTAAAATTAGGTATAGTGAAATATTAATGGTAGAGTCTAGATGGGAAGGTTTATAAGTATTCACTGTAAACTTCGTATAATTTAGCCGTATGTTCAAAATTTTTCACAATAAAATATTTAACAGGAAATGTTAGGATCAGGCAGCAAGGAGACATTGTGTGGAAAGAGAAAAAAGTAATGTTCTTGGATGTTCATTATGAGACAAAGAGGCACATATACAGACAAAGGTGGCCTATATCATAGTCCCAGCCTTGCTTCATAGCCAGAAGAACTGAAAGTCCTGGCTGACATGAGACATGCCAGAAAGAGTACTGCTGATGAAAGTAAGCGTCTCTTGTAGGCACAACAGAGATATTAACAATAGGAAATTTCTGTTTCCTTAAAACAATGTTTGTTTTTTTTTTGAGATGGAGTTTTGCTCTTGTTGCTCGTTAACTTATGATGTGTATCTCAAATCTCTGCCCTTGTGACTGGCATATGCTAAGAGCTAAAATTAGCTGGGCGTTGTGGCAGGAGCCTGTAATCCCAGCTACCAGGGAGGCTGAGGCAGGAGAATTTCTTGAACCCTGGAGGCGGAGGTTGTAGTGAGCCAAGATCGCGCCATTGCACTCCAGCCAGGGCAACAAGAGCAAAACTCTATCTCAAAAAAAAAAAAAAAAAAAAAAAAAATTCTCCGATTTTCTTGACAATTGAATATAATCTATAAACAAATCTGTTTTTATTCTTACTCATCCTTTATTATTCTACATTGCCTAGTAAGGTTTTGAAGTTTTTCTCATATAGTTCACATATATTTCTAGCTAAAATTAATTATTTTATTCCTATTGTGTAGACTTTTTAAAAATAAAAGTATGTGCTAACTTGTTGAGGACGGCAAGTCAATCTATTAGCTTATTATTTCCTTTTCAGTCACTTTACTACAAATTATTGATAGTAATTGAATCTCTTCTCATTTTGGGGACTTAGTTAATTAATAAGGATAATTTTGTAATCTCTTTTCCAGAAGGTAAGCCTCATATCTACTTAAATATTGTCCTAAGTAGAATTTCCAGACGGTGCTTACATAAAATACTGATAAGCACATATTCTCATTTAATTTACGATGTGTATCTCAAATCTCTGCCCTTGTGACTGGCATATGCTAAGAACTAAAGAAATGCATGGTAAGAGAAGTAATGAAAAAACAAACGTAATTTTCAAAAAGAGGCAGGAGCGTGTGCAACTTACCATCCAGGAGGCTTTGGAAGATGGGGAACAATTTTAATAAAACAGAAGAGATTAGTTGTGTCACAAGAGAAAAGTTAACGTGGAGGTGATTTTCAAAGCGGTAGGGAGGAGGTGAGCTATCCAGTTCTCGCAGAGCTAACTGCAGTCATCTCTAACCTAATAATATTTGTTGGCTGGCATTCTGGGTGACATCCTGCCTTCCCTTTTACTTTTTTTTTAATTAAGTCTCTTTCTGCAATTAATGTATAGCTAGAATTGAAATTGTTCAACTTCTGCATACACTTTGGGTGGGATCTACGTACCAAATCTTGATGTTAACCTTATCTTTGACACTCATATTATGTGTTAGATGGCCTATATACAATTTTAATTAACAAATCTAGTGTCAAGGGAAAATAAAAATATAGTAAACTTATCTGTCTCTGAAAACAAATAAAGTAATTAAACAAACACACCTCTAGTTAATCTATTTGATTAAAAAACAAAACAAAATTGAAGATGAGGAAGCTAGGAGCTAGAGACGCAGGATTTGTTTTTTAAAAGACCACACACAAATTGGCGTCACTATTTCAAGAGATGCTAGAAAGGCCATTGGTAAAATTTTAAACATCTATCCCAGCTGGGGGAAAAATGGAAGTTAGACTAGAAGAAACCTTATTTTGTATTACTCAAAATATCTGGCTCAAACTTACTACCACCGCCGCCCACTCTGCGTCAATCTCCAGGCGCAGCCGTTATTCTCCACAGAACAAGAACGTCCGCCGTGAACGCCTGGGCCGCGCGAGGGAGAGTGACTCAGGCAAGGGGTGACTATCACGTTAAAATTTTTCATTGACAAAATTACCGTCTACCTAGAAATACGAAGCTAATACACTGCTACATTACCAAAGGGTTCCACACGCGTCTCATTACGATGCAAACACAAAATTCAGCACTTTCGTGTATACCTGCAATAAGCAACTAGAAGGTTCGATGGGAGAAAGCGATCTCGTCACAAAGGCAGCAGCAACGGCAAAACAGAGAACGCGACTCCATTCCCAGCTCAGCGCGAGCAGCGGCGTCAGAGCGGTGTCTGAGGCCGGCCCGGCACTACGGCGCCACCTCCCCGTGGCCTGACGTCACGCACGCGCACGCGCCCCGCCCCGCCCCATTGGTCCTGCGCCCGCCCCTGCCGCGCACGCACGCACACGCACCCCCCCCACACACACCGTGACGCACGCGCCCCAGCCTGGCGTTCAGGCCGCACCCCGCCCCCAGCCCGTCAGCCGCGCGCCCCGGGATCCTAGAATCGGCGTTTCCCCGCCGGCGCCCCAGCCGCCACTCCGTGACGGACACTGGGGGCCTTCCGCCGAGAGCGCGCTCGTGACGCACGGACCACGCTCCTTCCGCGGGGCGGCGCACAAGCTCCTGGGAAACGTAGTTCGGCCTTCCGTCCCCCTTAGGCGGGACCGCGGGCGCCTGGAGGCGGGCGCCGAGGACGGGTGAGCGTGCAGGGAGGTGGCTTGTTCAACCGGGACGCGCCCCTCGTGGGCTCAGCCTCGCCCGCTGAGTTCTCCTGCATGCAGGCGTCGCCTCACGGAAGTTTGGGCCTCGGGGAGCCTGCCTGGGAGGCGGCGGTTGGAGAGGCCCTTGAGGGAGGAGGGGCCCCTTACCGGGTGCGAGTGGCGCGCGGGGACCAGGGGCGCGAGGGGCGGAGGGCTCCCCGGCTGGCTGTGTGTGCCACGCAGGGAGCGCCGGGGGGCCGGGGGCGCGCGTTTGCCTTCTCTAAGCAACACGGGAGGGCTGAGGGTGCACGCCTCCCTGTCCAGCAGCCTCTTGAATCTCCAAATCTAATAATGGGTTGAATCACAGCCATAGTTTTTTTCACCTATTGCATTATACTGTGGTTGAATGCGATGTGGTTTTATTTCCTTAATACTCTGGTGTATTCAATTGACTATCTCCCTTTGACTTCACTTATGCTCACAAGATTGCATTTTAATCTTTTTGTGTACCCTCCTTGCCCGTTATACTAACAAGATTTTATAAACTTCATAATAATTTGGACAGCACAGTCTCTTCTATTCTGTAAAACGGGTCACCACTCCCCCCCGCCCCCCGCCCCGCCTCCAAAAGTTTGGTACAATTTGCATGCAGAACCTTTGGTCTTATTTATTACGCGTTTAACTTCTGACTCAATTTTTGTTTGTTTTGAGACGGAGTTTCGCTCTTTGTTGCCCAGGCTGAAGTGCAATGGCGCCATCTCGGCTCACGCAAGCTCCGCCTCCCGGGTTCCAGTGAATCTCCTGCCTCAGCCTCCGGAGTCGCTGGGATTACAGGCATGAGCCACCACGCCGTGGCTAATTCTGTATTTTTAGTGGAGACGGGGGTTTCTCCGTGTTGGTCAGGCTGGTCTTGAACTCCCGATCTCAGGTGATCTGCCAGCCTCCCAAAGCGCTGGGATTACAAGAGTGAGCCACCGCGCCCGGTCCTGACTCAGTTTTTTAAAAGTCTCATTGATTAGGTATTTTAGTTTGTATTCTGTTTTAGATACCTTTTCCTAGATAATTGTTTTTAATGTAATTTTTCAAATTTATTGGCATAAAATTGCCCATGCGATTTTATCACTGTAATTTCTGTGATTTTTTAAATTACTACTTTTTAATATTTTAAAATAACTGCTGTAATTGCTATTTTTTTCTTTTTTGAACCTAATTATCTAGGTGTTCTTTTTTTCTTGATTACTCCTATAAGGTGTATGTGTACATTAGTCTTTTCAAAAATGTAGATTTGATTTTGGTTTTTTTGTTGTTTTGGTCTTTTTGGGGGGGGTCCTGTTACAGTAAGTTTTGCTCTTAATTTTAAAATTTACTTTGTTGCTATTTTCCTACTTTTTTTTTTTCTTTGAGACGGAGGTCCCACTCTGTCGCCCAGGCTGGAGTGCAGTGGCCAGATCCGGGTTTATGCCATTCTCCTGCCTCAGCCTCCCGAGTAGCTGGGACTGCAGGCGTCTGCCACCTCACCCGGCTAGTTTTTTTATATTTTTTTTTAGTAGAGACGGGGTTTCACTATGTTAGCCAGGATGGTCTCGATCTCCTGACCTCGTGATCCGCCCGTCTCAGCCTCTCAAAGTGCTGGGATTACGGGCTTGAGCCACCGCGCCTGGCACTTTTTTTTTTTTTTTCGAGACAGAGTTTCACTCTGTCTCCAGGCTGGAGGTCAGTGGCATGATCTCGGCTCACTGTAGCCTCCGCCACCCGGATTCAAGCAATTCTGCTGCCTCACGCCCCATCAAGCCCGGCTGATCCGGCCAATTTTTGTTTTTGTTTGTTTGTTTTTGAGACAGAGTCTCTGTCGCCCAGGCTGGAATGCAATGGCAGGATCTCGGCTCACTGCAACTTCCGCATCCCAGGTTCAAGCCATTCTCCTGCCTCAGCCTCCGCAATAGCTGGGATCACAGGCGCACGCTGCCATGCCTGGTTAATTTTTTGTATTTTTCAGTAGAGACGGGGTTTCACCGTGTTGCCCAGGCTGGTCTCAAACTCTTGAGCTCAGGCAGTCCGCCCGCTTTGGCCTCCCGAAGTGCTAGGATTACAGGCATGAGCCACCACACCTGGCCATCTGCTTCTTGATTTGACTGGGTAATTATTTCTATTTGTGCTCCAAGAAATGTGTGTGTACATTTTTAAGAGCTGAATATGTTGAAAGACTCATAATAAAAACAAGAAACACCTTAACCCCATCTCTTCCCAGTGGCAACCACTTGAAAATATTTAAGCAATTCTGGCTTCGAACTCCTCTCAGTATTTTTTTATTCACTGATTTCAGACATTATTTTTAAATAAGAACTTTGGCTGCCTTCTTTCCACATCCTTAAATCACAATGTAATTATTTTACAAATATTATAATGTAGTTCTCCCACAAATTTTGGATAAATATGTTCAGTGTTTTCATTTGATGACTAGTCTGTAGTACTGAACCATAATATGTTTCTTGTACAAGGTTTACCTTTCTTGTTTATAATGACTGCCTTTTTTATTCATTTGCTTAGGTTTTCTTAAATCTATGTAAAATGTCTTTTGGTTCCATTTTCCTCAAGGGCTAATCTGTCATACAGTCTTACCATTTTTCTCCTTTTCTGGACATCCCCCTACAATGTAGATTGATCAGTTACTCTGTAGGCATGCAGCACACTGGCATACCACTGGGCTTCCCTTTTACCCTCATCAATTTCATCATCTCACCTCTGTGTTAGATCTCCTGTTTCCTATAAAGCACTTCTATTCCTGTTTGCTGGATTGTAATCTTACTGCCTTGAAAAAGGGTCCATATGATCTACATATATTAAAGTTGTAGAAATGAATAGAAATTACTTTGTCCTCACATTTGTGTGGTGTTTTCACCTAGTATACAAATCTCAGTAGGAAGTTACTTTCCATTAGAATTTTGAAAGCCAGTGAAGCTGAATAGGAAATGGAGCAGTGTTACCATTACTGTTGAGAAGTCCTATTTCATACCTGCTAATGTTGCTTTATGTGTAATCTGTTTATCATCTCTTGGAGCTCTTTGGTATTCAAAGATTTCATGATGATGTGTGTTCTAATATTTAAAGAAATTACTTGCTTTGATGGATAAAGTCTTAGATACTGTGTTTTTTTAAGGAATAAGAAGTTTCTGGCTGGACACTGTGGCTCATGCCTGTAATCCCAGCACTTTGGGAGGCCGAAGTGGGTGGATCATGAAGTCAGGAGTTCAAGACCAGGCTGGCCGAGATGGTGAAACCTCGTCTCTACTACTAAAAATACAAAAATTAGCCGGGCGTGGTGGCCGGCACCTGTAATCCCAGCTACTTGGGAGGTTGAGGCAGAGAATTGCTTAAACCTGGGAGGCGGAGGTTTCAGTGAGCTGAGATTGCGCCTCTGCACTCCAGCTTGAGTGACTCTGTCTCAAAAAAAAAAAAAAGTTTTCCTGTATTTGTTTCTTCCTTTTTTTCTTTCTGGAACTCTGAGTAATCTGGGGTTGGCCCCTAAAATTGCTCATATAGTTGTCTTTTTTTCACTTACTCTTGTTCTTTTAGATCAGCTTTATTCATTTATTTATTGAGACAGAGTCTCACTGTGTTGCGCAGGCTGGAGTGCAGTGGCACATCTTGGCTCACTGCAGCCTCTACCTCTTGGGTTCAAGCAATTCTCCTGCTTCAGCCTCCCGAGTAGCTGGGATTACAGGTGTGCACCAACACATCCAGCTTTTTTTGTTGTTGTATTTTTAGCTGGGACAGAGTTTCACTATGTTGGCCAGGCTGGTCTTGGACTTCTGACCTCAAGTGATTTGCCCACCTCAGCTCCCAAAGTGCTGGGATTACAGGAGTGAGCCACTGTGTTCAGCCAAGATCAGCTTTCTAGAAAAGTTCCTTAAGTTTATATTTTTTCTTTTTCTTTTCTTTTTTTTTGTTTGAGACAGAGTCTCGCTTTGTTGCCCAGGCTGGAGTGCAGTGGCGCAATCTCGGCTCACTGCAAGCTCCACCTCCTGGGTTCACGCCATTCTGCCTCACACTCCCGCTTAGCTGGGACTACAGGCGCTCGCCACCACGCCCGGCTAATTTTTTATATTTTTAGTAGAGACGGGCTTTCACAGTAGCCAATATGGTCTCGATCTCCTGACCTCGTGATCCGCCTGCCTCGGCCTCCCAAAGTACTGTGATTACAGGCATGAGCCACTACGCCCAGCCCTAAGTTTATCTTTTAACCCTTGTACCTTTTGGGGGAGTTTTTACATTATAATTTTTAATTTCCTGGGAAATTAAGAAAAAAATCCATAGAGTTCTATTCTTATTTCATAGAGGAAATATCTCTGATTATTTTTCAAATTACGAAATTTTCAAACACATATACAAGTATAATAGTATAGTGTACCAATCATCCTATTTTGTTGTTTCCTGATGAGAAGACATACATATTTTGCATTAGCCAGCTGGACTCAGTTTAGATTATTCAATTTTGTTGGCAACATCCAGAGCATGGTAACCAGGAGCCAGTCAAACGTATGCCTTCTTCTTTCCATCAGGCTTGATCAAGGTGTTGGCCTTGGCCACATCAGTGTCATAGAGCTTCTTCACAAGCCTGTGAGGAAGGCTTGTTGGCTTTAAGATCCACAATGAGCACAAGTGTGTTACCTTCTATCTTCTTCATGGCAGACACAGTAGGAATTTGATGATAGCACGGTGGTCAATCTTGTTTCTCCTGAGGGTGCTCTTCTGAAGATACGTGGGCTGCCTCCAGAGTCTCAGTTCTTGGGCTGCTAGAAGGTGAGTGACATGTGGATCTTCTTTTTTTTTGTTGCTGTGGATGCCTTTCACCACTGCCTTTTTGGCCTTCAAAGCCTTTGCTTTGGTTTTAGCCTTAGGAGAGGCAGGAGTTTCCTTCTTCACCATCAGCACCATCTTGTGAAAAAGGCCCCATCGTTCTATTTTGAAGCAAATCTTGGACATTAGATATTATTTGTAAATAGCTCAAAATGTATCTCTGAATCATAAGTACTCCTTCTTAAGTAGGATATTCTCACACCTGCAAAATTTGTAATTCCTTTATATCAAATTTATAGGCAAAAGCCGGGGGTAGGGTGGGGAGGGTATGCCTGTAGTCCCAGCCATTCAGGATGCTAAGAGGCTAAGGTGGAGGATCACTTAAGCCAGGATTTCAAGGTTAGCCTGGCAAATATAGTGAGACTCTGTCTCTAAAAAATAAGTAAATAATAAATATATAGGCAGTGTTCAGATTTTTCTGTTTTCTCATGAATTTTTAAAATTTATTTCTTTGACTCATGGTCCAGATAACGTTTATACAATTTGAAGTCTGTATGGTTTTTCCATAGAAAAATTATGTCTCCATGTTGTTTTAATTCCAGTTTCTCTTGCTGTCTGCTCTTTTGAATATGCTGTTGTTGCTTTGAAGTTTGTTGTTTTCTGTTTCTTACATTGTTTCCTCTGAATTCCTCCTTTGCTTTTGTTTTATTCCTCCACCCCACTGCTTTCTTCTGAGTTCAGCTTACATCCTTTTAGTAGTTCCTTCAGGAACTATCTTGAGTGGTAAACACACACACCCATATAGATGCCTTTTATATTGCTCTCAGTCTTTAGCATACAATTGAATTCTAGGTTGTTGTTGTTTTCCTTTAGTACTTTGAAGATACTATTGTATTGCCTTCTTGGCCTCTATCTTTGCAACTGAGAATTCTGTAGTCAGTATAATGGATATTCCCTTATATATAATTAGCCTTTTTTCTTCAGTAACTTTAAAGTTTTACACATTATTCTTGATATTGTAGTTTACCTTCAGTGTAGCTGGTAGCTGGTATATTTTTAAAATGTATTCTTTTTTTTTTTTGTTTTTTGAGACGGCAGAGTCTCGCTCTGTCACTGAGGCTGGAGTGCAGTGGTGCGATCTGGGCTTACTGCAAGCTCCGCCTCCCAGGTTCACGCCATTCTCCTGCCTCAGCCTCCCGAGTAGCTGGGACTACAGGCGCCCGCCACCTTGCCTGGCTAATTTTTTTGTATTTTTTTTAGTAGAGACGGGGTTTCACCATGTTAGCCAGGATGGTCTCGATCTCCTGACCTCGTGATCCACCCGTCTCGGCCTCCCAAAGTGCTGGGATTACAGGCTTGAGCCACCGCGCCCGGCCTTTAAAATGTATTCTACATGGCACATGGTATACAGGCTTTCAGATCAAGGACTTATGTATCCTTCTTTCAGCTTGGAGTAAAAACAATCATTATATCTCACATTGCTTCTTTTCTATTTCCTTTTTTTTCCCTCTTCTGGAATTCCTGTTCAACGCATATGCACATCTTTAATCCATCTGGAATTTGTGAATGTGAGGGGTGTTTTTTTTTCCAAACAGAAAATCATTTGTCTTGATATCATTTATTAAATAGTTCATCCTTCCCCCCACCGATTTAAAGTGACATCTTTGTTATGTACTAAATGTTTAGCTACACATGAATCTGTTTCTGAAGATACTGTTTTGTTTTCTATTATTGCCCTAATATCATTGTTTTACTTACTAGAGATTTATAATGTATTTTGAAATGTAATAGGGTAAGGCATTTTAAAGTATTTGCCTGTTTTATATATCTTTAATTTTCTATAAAACTTTAAAAACTACATTTCAGGAAATCCCTGTTAAATACATAGTTTAATCAAAATCCTACGGTGATTCACCTAGTGAATCTCAACATTTATTCAAATATTTTTTCCTGTTGTTTAGTAAAGTTGTTTAGTGTTTGTAATTAGTCCTATAACTAGAAAAGAAATAAAACTATGAGGAATGAAGAGTTAAACCTGCAATACAATTCTTAACATCTTTTACTACAAGGCAAACATATTTTCTTTCTTGCAGAGGAAGCCTAACTCTCTTTGTTATTATTGTTGTTTGTGTGTGTTTTTGTTTTCAAGCAGAGGATTTCACCCTGTTGCCCAGGCTGGAGTGTGGTAGCATGAACATGGTTTACTGCAGTCTCGACCTCCTGGACTCAAGCGATCCTCCCACCTCAGCCTCCTGAGTAGCTGCGGCTTCAGGCACATGCCACCATGGTTGGCTAATATTTAAATTTTTTGTAGAGACCTAGAGTCCCACCATGTTACCTAGTCTGTTCTCAAATCCCAGGACTCAAGCAGTCATCTGTGGTGGCCTCCCAAAGTGCTGGGATTACAGGCATTAGCCCCTGTACCCAACCCAGAAGCCTGACGATTTCCTTTTCCTTCTTGAAAGAAGGGTGTGGGTATGGAAAAAATACCCCCATGCACAAAACCTTAATTATCATAGGTTCATTTGGTTTACTCAAATTGTTGAGTTGTGCCATGGACTGAGGACTCTTCTAGGTCCTAGGAATACAGTAAACAAATCAGATAAAATCAATTTCTAAATGAGTTTCCCTAAAGTGACAGACCTATATACACTTCTGGTTTAGGGACAAAGAATCTACCTGTCAAAGATCTTTGTCTAAATAAAAATGTCAATTCTATAATTTTGTCCATTAAAACTGAGTTCTATTGATGTACAGTATTGACAGAGAAGACTTGCATTTGATGGTTAACTACCTAGTCTTCAAAAAGTGAGAACTTTAAAAATATTAGTGTAATAAATTGTTTCGTGATTTGTCGTGATTCTTAAAGTCCCCAAGCGTGTATCTTTTGTATTTACACTATATGTTATTTTGTTATTTATATTAAATTCATTATAAAAATTGTCCAGGAGAGTACCGTATCTAATATTAATAGTTAGTGCCTCACTCCAAACTTGGGAATGCAGTTCATGGTTCTTCCTTTGTCACTTGACCCCATTCAAGTGTTAGATAGAATAAACTATCATAGATGACAATATGGACTTTAGGGAGGGAGGTTAAACTGGAAGTAATCAAATGAACATCTGTTTCTTTTAAGTTCCAGGGTACATGCACAGGATGTGCAGGTTTGTTACATAGGTAACATATGCTGTACCTATCAACCCATCACCTAAGTATTAAGCCCGGCATGCATTAGCTCTTTTTCCTAATGCTCTCCTTGCTGTCCTCCCCCGACAGGTCCCAGTGTGTGTTCCCCACTCTGTGTCCATATGTTCTCATTGAAATGAACATGTGTTTCAAAGTCACATATACACCTTTAACTTCAAAAAATTCCTTGGTAGGGTAGCAGCCAAATTGTCAGTCCTGTAAGGTTATTCTTGTAAACAAGTTACAGAAGAAATTTATATATAACACGCGTGTTTCACAGGGAAATGATTTTTCTGTCCCAAAAAGTTAACTTAAAAAAGTAGCAAGTAGTACATTAAATTTAATTTGACAGCCATGTGTTTTTACTGGTTGGTTCTCTTCAGTTTTAATTTTTTAAAATAACTCATGCCCCATCCACCCAGAGCTCAAAGTGGTCTGAAGGAGAAGCCAGTACAAAGAATCAGGATGGTATTTCTTGAAGTGGGTAAGGATCATTATATTGCATGTCAGTACAAATCCCAGTAAAGATTTTGAGCTCATTAGACCTTGCTGGGATGCAATGGGGAGGGTCTACAATTTTGTATTCACCTTTCCCCAAATGGGTCCCTGTTTCCAGCTCTCTTACCTGAACCTGCTTCTTTGGCTACAGGGAGGACTTTGGGTGAAATGCATCCCTCCTGTGACTGGACTGGAGAAACAAGAACAGAAGCATCCTGATCTCTCCACTCTACTATGCAGGCTTATGTACTCATAAAAATGGCAGTTATGGACCTATCTTCCACATGGGCTTTCACTAAACAGGACTCTGCCCATTTCCATCTGAGAAATGCTGAAGAGGAAAGGATGATTGCTATATTTCTGACAACCTGGTTACAGGAACCAATGACTTTCAAAGATGTAGCTGTGGAGTTCACTCAGGACGAGTGGATGATGCTGGATTCTGCTCAAAGAAGTCTGTACAAAGATGTGATGTTGGAAAACTATAGAAATCTCACCTCCGTGGAATATCAATTGTGCAGACTTACTGTGATCTCCCCATTGGATCAAGAAGAGATAAGGAATATGGAAAAGAGAATTCCCCGAGGCATCTGTCCAGACCAGAAGATTCTACCTAAAACCAAAGAATCAACTATGCAGAAAATTTTATGGGAGGAGCCATCCAGTGCAGTGAAAATGATAAAATTCACAATGCATAATTGGTCCTCCACATTAAAAGAAGACTGGGAATTCCATAAGATCAGAAAACAGTGTAAGATTCCAGGGGAACATTGGAGGCAAGTGACATATGTCCCAAAGAAAACAGTATCTCAGGAGACGTATAAAACAGTATTCTGTGACGATCATGAATTAGAGGAAACCTCTAAACTTAGATCAAAACTTATTTTTTCACAGAGCATTTTCGCCAGTAAACATTGCCAAAAATGTTACTCAGAGATTGGATGGTTGAAACACAATTCAATCATAAACAATTATGTGAAAAATTCTGTAAGTGAGAAGCTCTATGAAAGTCATGAATGTGATACAACTCTATGGCATCTTCAGAGAAATCAAACAGTACAAAAAGAGTACACATATTCTAAACATGGGATGCACTTCACACATAATATGTTTCACATACCTAACAATTTGCGTATGGCACAGAATTCCTGTGAATGTAATAAAAATGAAACCCTGTGTCATCAATCATCCCTTAAGAAACAAGGACAAACTCATACTGAAAAGAAACATGAATGTAATCAATGTGGAAAAGCCTTCAAAAGTATTTCTAATCTTACTTTACACAAGAAAAGTCACATGGGTGAGAAACAATATGAATGTAAAGAATGTGGTAAAGTGTTCAATGATTCCTCAACCTTAAGGAGACATATAAGAACTCACACTGGAGAGAAACCCTATGAATGTAATCAGTGTGGAAAAGCTTTCAGTCAAAAACCATCCCTTAAGGCTCACATGAGAACTCACACTGGAGAGAAACCCTATGAATGTAATCAGTGTGGAAAATCCTTTGGCACAAGCTCTTACCTTATAGTGCACAAGAGAATACACACTGGAGAAAAACTCTGAATGCAGTGAATGTGGAAAAGCCTTCAACACGAGCTCTCACCTTAAAGTTCATAAGAAAATTCACACCGGAGAGAATCTTTATGAATGCAGTGACTGTGGGAAAGTTTTCAGTGGGCTCTCATCCCTTAGAATGCATGTAAGAACTCACACTGGAGAGAAACCCTATGAATGTAAGGAATGTAGGAAAGCCTTCAGTGTTTCCTCTTCCCTTAGGAGGCATGTGAGAATTCACACTGGAGAGAAACCCTATGAATGCATTCAATGTGGAAAAGCCTTCAGTCAGAGCTCTTCACTTATTATACACAAGAGAATTCATACTGAGAGAGAAACTCTAAGTGTTAACGAATGTAGAATAGCTGTTTTCATTGTCTTAAGGTGTATTGCAAGCTCCTTGTCTCAGTCTTTGTTCTCTAAAATAACCATTTAAGGTTATAAATGGCTCTTTCATAATATAACATTTTGTTCTATAAATACTAATTACAACTGTTTTTGATCCATGGCTGTTTGGAATTAGGTATTTTTAATATGTGAGGTATGTATATTTTCAGTTATCTTTTTATTGTTGGTTTCTGGGTTAATTCCATTGTGTTCAAAGAATCCGGACTATATTTTACTGCTTTGTTGGTGTTTTTATGAAAGTTGTTTTCTGGCCCAGTGAGGCTGCTATTGCTAGCAGCCAACCAAACATTGAGCTCATCTTTCCTTACTAATGAATTCTATCTTGGCCAAGAACAATAAGGTATGTGGTTATAGAACTCTTTGACTTCTTGTAGCTAAGGGTAGCCATATCATTCATTCCTGCTGATTCAAAAATAGACATATCACTGAGAACAAAACTATCTATCTTGTCCTCTACTTTTTGCACTTCATCTTTGTCCCTATGACTTGGCCGTTCCTGAAGCTGCTGAAAGAGCTATCTTGTGACCATGAAAATGACAACTGTGGCCAAGGGATGAAGTAGAAGAAAGAGATCCCTGTTCCTCAAAGAAATCTTTAAATAGTTGTAGCAGCCCTGCACTGCTTGTATTTGGACATGTTTCTCTGTGAAAAAAATAAAGTTTTTTGTTTGTTCGTTTGTTTGTTTGAGATGGAGTCTCACTCTGTTGCCCAGGCTGGAGTGCAGTGGCACAATCTCAGCTCACTGCAGCCCCCACCTCCCAGATTCAAGTGATTCTCCTGCCTCAGCCTCCTGAGTAGCTGGGATTACAGGTGCCCACCACCACGCCTGGCTAATTTTAGCATTTTTAATAGAGACGGGGTTTAACCATGTTGGCCAGGATGGTCTCAAACTGCTGACCTCAGGTGTTCCACCCACCTCAGCCTCCCAAAGTGTTAGCATTACAGGCATGAGCCACCTTGCCAGGCTGAGAAAAATATGTTAATTGAATTTTTTTTTTTTTTTTTCTTTTCAGTTTTTCAGACAGACTCTCTGTCTCTCAGGCTAGAGTGCAGTGGTGTGGTCATGGCTCATTGCAGCCTCGACCTCCTGGGCTCAGGTGATCCACCACAGTCTCCTCAGTAGTTGGGATCACAAATGCATGCCACTATGCCTGGCTAATTTTAAAAATATATATTTTGTAGAGACAGGCTCTTCCTACATTGCTCAGGCTGTTCTCAAACTCCTGGGCTGAAGCAGTCCTCCTGCCTTTGCCTCCCAAAGTGCTAGGATTACAGGCATGAGTCACCATGCCTGGCTTTTACTGATTTTTTTTTTAAAGCACTACATAAATACAGTCAACGCAGTCACAATATTGTAGAAAAACAGAGGTATATAGAGTTAAATGTTTTATGTTGGATGTACACATTTGAAGAGGAACATAGAAAAAAATATGGAAAAGGAATGTTGACAGAACTTTTATGCTTAAGCAGCAGATGAAGATAGAGCCGAGATCACTGAAAGCAAGTGTTTAGAGCAGCAAAAAGAGTATCCCAACATTTCAGCGTTGGAACTACAGAAAGTTTTCAGATCGAGGGGAAGTTACAAATTTTAAATGCTAAATCATGAGATTTTGTTGCTTGGTCTTGCAGATACCAGATTAGTTCTAACAAAATACAGAAGGAGCGGCATACGGTGGAAGAAAGAAGGCAGTGGCTGCTGTTGTAGCTATTCATGTTAGCCTCAGAGGATGGTGAGACATCCATATGAAGAGGTTGGTATGCAATTCTAGAACTGAGGAGGTGTCTAGATAGAGATACAAATTTTAGTGACATCAGTAAAGAGACTATAACAGGTTTTGTGAAGGTGAATAAGAATGAAAAGAGAATGTCTGCCACCTACCCTGAAGACGTACATTTAAAGGAACCATAGTAGAGAGATAAGAAAACAAGAAGAGTGGAGTTTCACTGAACCAAGACAAACGAGTTTCAAGAAGGAAAGTGAAGTTGGCCAGGCGTGGTGGTTCATGCATGTAATCTTGGCACTTTGAGAGGCTGAGGCGGGCAGATCACAAGATCAGGAGATCAAGACCATCCTGGCCAACATGGTGAAACCCTGTTTCTACTAAAATACAAAAATTGGCTGGGTGTGGTGGCATACACCTGTAGTCCCAGGTACCCAGGAGGCTGAGAGGCAGGAGAATCACTTGAACCCGGGAGGCTGAGGTTGCAGTGAGATGAGATCTCACCACTGCACTCCAGCATGGTGACAGAGCAGGACTTCGTCTCAAAAAAAAAAAAAAAAAGGTGAAGGTAACTGTTTTTAGTGTTAGGGATCAAATTAGATGAAGTCTAAAAAGGTAAACACATACAGCCATGTGAAGATCATTCGTGATTGTAGTTCAAAATAACATAGTGGTACATTGAAGATGGTTGCTAGATTGGGCTGACTTTAGGAATCAATGAAGGGCAAGAAGTAAAGACTGGATGTAGACAAGTTTGAATAATAGGAGAAAGGGTAGTAGCTGGAGAGAGATTTGGAGTAAAGATAATATGTTTAAAATATGAAAAACTAGAACATATTTGAATTCTAATGTGATGAATGTAGTATGGTGAGGTTTAATATGCAGCTTAGTAAGCTTCTGAGAATGGGGTGTCGCTGTTTAGAGCACAAACAAAAGGATTGGTGTTTGCCAGGAGGCAGAGGGATACTTCCACTGTTCTCTCAGGACTAGAAAAATGGGTGGGTTGGTTTAAATTACCTATTTGTTTCCTTACACCTAAGTTCACTGAGCAGTGGTCAGAATATGTGAACTATATAATGCTATTTTGTGTTTCCTAAGAACTACTGTGTGGCAGCCACTGCTAAGTACTAACTAAATATATATATTTTTTATTCTTTATGAATAGATCTTCAGTTTTGCTAACAGTAGTATTGTGTTTAGCTACAAAACTACTTATCCCAACTCCTTTGTAGCCAAGAGATGCCATTTCTACTGTTCCTGGCCAATAAAATATAGATAGATGATTATAGGTTTCATGGTAAGATTAGCTGCTAAGAGGAAGGTGGATGAAATACTGCAAGGAGGTTTTAGTGAAGAAGATCTCTATATATTTGAAAGTCCTTCCAAGTTATCAGTAGAGCCATCAGTGGAGAAGACAGCAAAGCAAGTAGCAAAGTCTACATGAATGAGGAGAGGTCATTTAAATAAAAGATTGGACCAGGCGCGGTGGCTCATGCCTGTAATCCTACCACTTTGGGAGGCCGAGGCGGGTGGATCATGAGGTCAGGAGATCGAGACCATCCTGGCTAACACGGTGAAACCCCATCTCTACTAAAAATACAAAAAATTAGCCAGGCGTGGTGGTGGGGACTGGTAATCCCAGCTACTCGGGAGGCTGAGGCAGGAGAATGGCGTGAACCCAGGAGGTGGAGCTTGCAGTGAGCCAAGATTGCGCCACTGCACTCCAGCCTGGGCAACAGAGCGAGACTCTCTCAAATAAATAAATAAAAATAAAAGGTAGCCAGGAAGAGAGGTAGAATGTGGTATAATTAGATGGTATGAGCCTGAAAGGAAGGAGTGGTTTTTACCAGGCTGCAATGGTTAGAAGCAGTGTTAGGGAGCAAGGAAGATACTGGTCCCACTTCCAGCCTGTGGATATGTGGAATACATGGGAATAAGCCCCCTTGTGATGTGATTGTTGTCAGGGGTTTTTTGCTCCCCAGGGAACAGCCAAGTTTTTATGAAAGGAAATGTTCAGGGAAATAGTTGAGGATATTAAGGGAGTTTATTAGGCGAACCTCAGAGGGCACCATGAAAGAGTCTCCAGAAGGGCAGGGGTTTAGGGTTTGTGGCTTTGGCCTGAGAAATAGAGAAGATTGTTATGACAGTATTGATAGGAAAAGAGATCAGACCAGGGCCATGACCAGTGAAAACAAAATTCAGAGGGAGTATAGGTTAGATCCCAGCAGTCTATAAGATGATGATGGGTACTTAGCTTGTGGTGAGCCAAGATCACGCCACTGCACTCCAGCCTGGGCGATAGAGCAAGACTCTGTCTCAAGAAAATGGTCCCAACTGCATGTGATTCTTGGGTAAGATCATCTTGAGGAGTACTCAGCAAGGGATTGTACTTTGGTTGGTTGGGACTGGAATTTCACTCTAATTTTGGCCCAGTGATCTTGGAACAGATTGAGCATCTAAATCTGAACATCTGAAATTCAGCATGCTCCAAAACTTGAAACTATTTGTGCGCCGATGTGACTTTCAAAAGAAATGCCCGTTGGAGCATTTAAAATTTTGTATTTTCAGATTTGTGATGCTCAACTGGTAGGTATAATGCAAATATTTCAAAATTCAAAACACTTCTGGTCCCAGCATTTTGGATAAGGAATACTCATCTGTACACCAGCAGGTAGACTCAGGCACGGTCTCGCCCGGCATCACACCTGGATTTTATTGCAATAGCCTCCTAACTGGTTTCTCTGACTTGAATCGTACTTTGCTTTAGTATGTTTTTTATGCAGGTGCCATGGTATCCTATTAAAAAAAAAAAACTTTGTGTTTTTTAATTATAAAACTAATACATACATAGAAGAAAACAATGTAAATAACTTCTGCCCTACACAGAAGGGAAACCCCAGATTCTGCTGCCTTAAAAAATTAATATGGTAGGTGAATGTGCATTCCGTCAGACTATGTACATACAAACTTTTTCATTTTGTAAAAATTGAGTTATACCTTTTATCCCACATCTTTTTTTTTTTTTTTTTTTGAGAAGGAGTTTCACTCTTGTTTCCCTGCTGGAGTGCAATGGCACGGTCTCGGCTCACGGCAACCTCTGCCTCCCGGGTTCAAGCGATTCTTCTGCCTCAGCTTCCCAAGTAGCTGGGATTACAGGTATGTGCCATCACTCCTGGCTAATTTTGTATTTGTAGTAGAGACGGGGTTTCTCGATGTTGGTCAGGCTGGTCTCAAACTCCCGACCTCAGGTGATCCACCCACCTCATGCTCGCAAGTTGCTGGGATTACAAACATGAGGCCATCATCCCCAGCCTATCTAACATCTTTTTAAACATCGTTCTGTGTCAGTGCATGTAGTTCTATTTCATTTGTAATAGCTGCTTAGCATTTGATTATATGCTTGTACCATAATATAATCCATTTGCCTCCAGAGTTTTTATAACAATACTGCAATCAATAATATTGTTTATATCAACTGTTCTCTACACTTCCCAGGGTGATCCATCTAACGTACTAACCTGATCATATAACATTTCACTTTTAATCATCTTCTGGCATTTTTCTCCAATTAAGATAAAAATCTTTTTACAAGACCTTGCTCAAACTCTTACTTGCCTTTTCAGGCCTCATCTCTTATTATTCCCTTTATCTTCACCATCTCCCTAACTTAACGTGTCCTGTTTATCCTTTAGGTATTGTATCTTTCATCTGCTTTAACAATACTTGTCACACTTTCACACTGTATTTCCTGTTTGTGTATTGTGCCCTCTACACTGTAAGTTTTGGTAAGGTGGGAACTTAGTCCAAATTTTTCATTGTTTTACTCTTACTACATGGCCCAGTGTAGGTGTTCAGTTAAACATTTACGGTTCTTCAACAAATTTTGTGCCTTTTCTTTTACTTAGCTTTCTAGTGGAAGTTTAACTTAAAAGCTATTTAAGTGATTGTGAGGTAAA